GATTGCGGGCAGTTATCTCACCGCGTGAGTCATCGCCCGGCTATGACACTTGTCGGTTCATACGTTAGGGCTCAAAAAGAATCCGATGACTCCTGCAAACATCATACCTGGCGTTCAGCTCAAAAAAAAACCTCATGCGTGAATTATTCCTTCCTGGAAGTTTATCTCTGAAAAAAATGGCCTCGTTGATATCGTATGATGTCGTGCAGCTTCACTCAAATCCTTGAGAAAACACACAGCTCATCCCTAACGGTTGTCACCGGCTGCCGTGCGATCAAAGCCCTTGCCAAACGCTCCCTCCCCACGAGACAACAGTTACTTCCATTAATTATTCCTCATCAAACAGGTTTTTCCTACTACTCCCTTCAGAATTAATAGAAGACGTCGTGACCTCTATTAAAAATCCTCTCGCTTGTCCTTCTTGATCCACTTCTGGGACATTTCTAATAAATCTTGGAAAAGAAATAGCCCCACCCACTTTGATGCCAGCTACCGTTGCCCACTGACTTCAAGTGACTTGTGTCTGGTGGGTGACATCTTCCCAGGAAAACCGGCAAGTGACTCATCCTTAAAAAAGAAGGTTGTGAGTCCTCCCTCACTCCCCAAACCTCCTGTTCTTACTTCACCTCGGCTCCTCACATCTCACTATTTTAGGTCATAGGTTTGAATTTCTGCAATTAACCATTTGTAGCATCAGTTTAATATCGGAACCCACCCGCAAGCACGCAACACACTGTTGCAGGGAAGGCAGACACCGCGGATTTGGAAAACCACTTAAAAAAAAAATTAAAATAAATCAGTTTAAGTCAGACAACAAGTTAATCCAGATTAGCTTTCTGCTCACCAAGTGCATTAATAACGCTTCCGTAGTGACCGAGGGCCGGCCAGAGCCAGGCCACCGTCAAATAGCGAGGCTAATACAGATTACACACTCCGAGGGCAGCAGCTTTAGTAGGAAAACTCATTTTGGATCGAGTGTAACGGCGGCACGCTCAGACCAAGGCAGCAGAATCAATTAAAGAGCACACAGCAGTCTCTGGTGTAATATTTGGGCCTTTTTCAGGTAATTTCTAGCTAGCCTCAAAGATCACCAGTTGCAAAAAGGCTACAAAAATTCAGGGGAAAATGCACTCTTACTAACACAGCTGCTTAAAAACGAGCTATCAACGGTGGTGCCTTTTTTTTTTTTATTCTTGGGGAGGACAAGGAAATCTTCAAAGAGCACAATGACTTCACCAGAGCTTCCCGCAGCGTCTCCTGGACTTGCCTTGGCAGGAGGCTGCACATCAGTTGCTCCATAAATTATTATTTGGGAACATGAAAATGTTATGCCTGCTTGCTTTTGGAATTGCATTGCTTACACCATGTTTATTTACCTTTAGAAAAACCCAAAAATCTGCTCCCAGGAAGAACTGCCTCCCGGAGGGCTCAGGCCCAGCAACGAAGCCACAAGAACTGAATTTTTAACATATTTGATGACGTCGCCTGGCAGAGCAGGCTGAGGCAGCTCGATGCTATTGCAGCACAAATAACAGGTTTTGAGTATTTTTTTTTCCTCAAGGGAAACATTTTCTCCGTTCCGTTCCAGAAACTTGGAAGCAGGGCAAAAATTCACCCATACGTTAAGCGTTGGCGTCAACTGAATCATATTTGCTGACAGAAGTGAGCGTTTGCCTCAACCCCTCTCCAGGTTGGATGAGGCTTTGGGCAACCTGGTGTAGTGGAGGGTGTCCCTGCCCATGGCAGGGGGGTTGGAACTGGATGATCTTTGAGGTCCCTTCCAACCCAAACCGTTCTATGATTCTACATGCAAAACCAGAAAGCAAAAATCTCACCCTAGCTCTGCTAACATTCCCTAGGAGCAACCAGCCAAAAACCACGACAAGCAGCTACCGAATTCCCTATTCTCGGGCAAAGGGCTTGAGCTGGCAGCGACAGATACGTGTGGCACCACCAGATCCCCAGCGACACGGTGCCAAACCACCGGGCTGCAGCTTCCCGTGGCAAACTGGAGCTTTTCCCAGCAGCTACTTACTGTGCGAGAAGCGCTGTGTGATGGGGGTGCCGGGGTAGGGGTAAGTGCGACTCTCCCACTGGATATTTCCTTCTTGCACCGCTTTGATAAAGCCGTGGTAACACTGGTGGGCCACACCTAGGGGGAAAAAACAACAACGAGACGTCAGGAAAATTTGGGGCACGTTAGGAGGGAGCCATGCCTGCACGGCTGCACGAGCAGCGCGACAGCAGTTACGAAGAACCCCCGTGTTTAGATCATGGATCTGCCGGTGGGAATTCAGAGGATTGAAGAGAAGAAAGAACAGGGACCCTGCAAACGTGGAAAAGCAGCGGCGCTCACCCAACTGATTCGCTACGTTTCCGATACCCGTCAGCCCTGGCTTGGTAAAGGAAAGCCTTTGGGAAGGGTGAGCACATGCCATGCTCGTGGAGCTGGTTTTGAGCTTCTGCTGCTGCAACACAAACCTGCTGTCCCCTAATTGCACCCTCGAAGGAGCAGCTGCCCTTCCCTTAACAAACTTTTGAGGACTAATAACGTGCAATAATGAATTTTGAAGAGCGTGCACGCAGCTACTGTGCAGGAATCTAAAATAAATAGGAGAGGAGACATCGGTGATAAAAGCCAAGCGTGTCTTGGGTGAAAATATTCCTCCTTAGCAGCGTGAGGGAGCGGATCTGGCCGACAGCAGCTCCTCCGCGGAGCAGGACGGCCCCAGAGCTGCAATTAATTCTGTGCATGGAGCACGTGTGTCTTGTGTTTGTGTTGAGAGGGGCCAGAAACTGCTCCTTGCGGAAAGAAAAGGGT